TGCTTCATACGTTCATCACTGCTTTTTAGGTCCACAAGCTTTTCAATGCCTCCTCATATGTTGGTTGTCTCCCTCACAGTACTATAACTCATAGAAGAAAGGAATGATGTATAATTTTCTCAGTATTCCCAATGAATTTAGGCCAGGTAATCATTTACCCATTCAGCAAATAGTTACAAATGACTCTACATATAATTGCTCTAAGCTTTGAAGATCAAATAATAACTGGAAGAGACAGTCACCTTCTCAAATGCATTCGCTCTGGCACTATCACTGAAGTGCCCACGTTTATCTCATTCTGAAGTCATAAAAGTGAGGATGGGGTCACGTAATTATAGGTATGATGCTTCTGAGCGTGAAGAGTGAAATATTCACAGTAAATGACAGCCTTTCAAAAAGTGAGTGGATTGTTTTGCACGAGAGAATGATGAAAACGTTCTATGCTATTCTACTAATAAAAAGTTAAGCAGAGATTTTGTGGATTTGAAAAGCTAAGTCAATAACTCAGGCAGAAGACAGCAAAAACAGGAATATAGCAATAAGAAAGGGGGATCAAAGGGCGAATGCTGCGCACATTTAAAAAGACAAGCTGTCAGCAAGGATCTTTAGTTGGCTGTGAACTAAAGCAGTGAGCATTAGGAAGTTAGGGATGACGATTAGATTCCAAAATTGTTTTCCCCAGTGGTGCACGAACCAAAATAAAATGCGGGGGGGAAAAAAGTTACAACCATGAACATGCATTGGTCACTTGGACTTATTTCATAACACTACAAAGAGCAAATGAAGCTCAGGACCATGAAACATGGCCATTTTGTCAGCATTGCAACTGTGCCTAAATGCTGTGGTGGGATGAGAAATTTCAAGCCTCTTTTTTCGCATGGAATACCGAAAGTTAGCTAGCTAGTGGAGTATGTTAATCTCTATGCCTTGATGTATTTTGACCCAACCCCAGTTCTGAGTCAGGAGGAAATTCATGCCACGGAATCTTGAAATCTCGATATGGAGGGAACGCCATTTATGTTATTCTATGTTATTCACTGCCGCCAACTGGGGGTAGGGTCAACCCATCTTCAACCAATGTCTGATACACCTCCTCAAGTGGAGCCTTTGGTCAGGTGTTCTGGGTATTTTCCTGAAATAGTTGTTTCTGCTACTCTTCATGAATTCCCACAAAATTAACAAGACAACTATAAAAGGGAAGAAAGGGGAACTTTTATGAGAAAACTTGCAACCGGCCTACTTGATCTTTGTGCCTCTCAGCATGTTGTTAGCACCACACTGGCCGCTGCCCTGCAAACGGAAGCCTAAATGGGTTTTTCCAATGTGCTCTTTAAATTCAAAACTGCTCGATTCAGGTGGTCTTTTCTGAAAGGGGGTTATTCTGTTTATCTCCTGTATCTTGATATGATCCATCTACACGAGGAAGGCTACATGGGATTTTCTGGTTGCCGTCCTAGAGAGAGCTGGGGGACAGAGCTGAATGCATCCACTTATCTCTATGACAACACAAAGGCTGGTGACATCACCACCCCTTGTCCCCTCTGCGGACACAGCTGGGAAGTCTTTCCATCACCACAGGAGCCCTGGGCAGCAGGGGCTCTCAGGGCTCTGGCCCTGAAGCAGGAAGATCTGTGCTAAGGATCCAGGGTAAGGATTATTTTGCCTGGTCCCAGGAGGTGGGCCAGACACAGGATGGGTGCAGGTGAGGGAGGCTTTTGTCACAAACCCGGTAGTTTCATTTATCTTGCTCTCCGGTCTGTTAGTAATCAGTTCCTCTGCTGGTACACTGGTAGGCACATCAGCTGGTTCAGTGAAGACTTGGAGATTACTCAGTTTTGCTGCTTATCACCAGTGCCCATACTAGCTAAGACTTCAAATGGGCCTGTTGAAACTTTTCTGACCTTAATGATAAATGGTTCTCCTTACAGGAGACCCTCTGAGTCAAGGCAGACACGCTGGATAATTTCTAAATCTAGTCTTTAATGAAGTCACCATAAGATCCTTAATTTCTAATTTATGCTTAGAAACTATATTGCAAAATTTTACAATTGTGTTTGACCCTTCTGTATTTCATAGTATAGGTTGCCTTCCAGAGGTAGACTTGAAAAAGAGACAGAGGCAAAAACTCAAATTCTTGGAGTCAATCTTTGATGTGATTGAACTATGGCATGATAGCTGTATTAACTCCCAACAATATGATTTTTAAGGGAAAAAAAGTCTTATAAAGTCCTATAAATTAAATGCAAACTATGAGGGGCTGGGAGCCCTGAAAATATGCCATTATTTCCTAGGGAACTTAAACAGTGAATATATGTGTTCAAGACTATTTATGGTATTATTATTGAAAATATACAAACAAAACTTATTCCAATTCAACAGTTTGTACAAATACAATTCAGTGGTATTGATTACATAAGTCGAACAACTACTTTCACATACCTTCTCTGTTTTCCCTTCCTTAGTAATAGAAATTCACTCACTGCCATTGAGTGGATGCAGACTCATAAATCAACCCTATAGGACATCTGTAGAACTGCCCCTGCAAATTCCCCAGACTGTAACTCTGAAGGAAATCCCCTTTCTTCCCTGAGCAGCTGGTGGCTAAACTACTGATTTGGGGTTAGCAGCTCAATGCGTAACCGCAATGCTACTCGGACTCCAAAGATAAATTCATGTCCCTCCTAATTCCCTAAATCATTTTTGGAATTGCTGTTGTCAACTTTACCTTATTTAGATAAATCTGAAAATAGGACAAAGAATATTGAACTTCTTGAAGTTCACTTTTTTTAAGTGAACTTTTGAAGGAAATGCCTAGAGATGGAAATATAATTTCATCTAAGAAACAGATCACTTGTGGTCTTAGTGATAAGATTCAGGAGTACAGTAAATATTAGCGAACACAACCAAACAGCTTAATAAAGTTGGAAATTTGTGACAAAGATTATTGATACGGCCTGTAAGTGTATTCTTTCCCTCCTTATTTTAACTGTCCTCTATTATCAGGCTGTAGGAATACGAAACCATATTCTGTAGACACACCATGAACTCCATGTGATCTAGGCCTTACAACAGCTGCAAGAAAGACCCCGCACCCTTCCATCAGTAAGTGACAAGAAAAAAAGTTGTCGTCAACTCTGTAGCTGTTCATGAATGTGACTTTAAAGGCATAACAATTAGTAATAAAGTTTGGAAAAATATTTTACATTGCATATATTCTCACTAACCATGCCCTACTTTCATTGGTGTACAAATATGATTATAGGTTGTTGAGTGAGTGTGGGTGTAGGAGGATGGCAGAGGGGCGTATGTGACATCATAAATTATGTGAGACCACTGAATTATGGGGCCCATTGCATTCTAGAACTGTGTGTGCTCTAACACAAATATATTGTGAGACTGAGCAATACAAAATCTTCAGGTTAATGTGTATTTCTCTCAACTATGTGGTGAAGATACAGAAACCAACCGGCTAATCTATTTCTTAAAATAAGCCAGCCAGAGAGCATCTACTAGAATTTAACCATGAATGTTTGACACTTTTATTATATTTTATTGATATTTTTTCCTGCTACCCCTGGAAAGAAAGAAAGAAAAACCAGGTCCTATAAACACTTGGGAAATTAGCAGTTCAATCAAACAGCATGCATTTTATTGGAAGACCTTACGAGCTTAGTAAAATATGTGCCTTACAGAAAAAAATAATAAAATATTAGCTACCTGTCTTCTGAAGTACTTCTGGGTAGGTTTGAACTGCTAATATTTTGGTAGGTCGCCTAGCATTCAGACATTTGTGCTAGGAAGTCCTTTCATGTTAAGAAGTCCTTTCATGTGCATTGAGGTGCTCACATTTATAAATAAATCTGTAATGTTGTACTGAACTCAAAATCCAAAGTTCAAAGAATTTCCATACTTGATAGTTATCAAACTATAACTCAACACAAGTGAGCTACAGGTAGTTGTTAACTGGGAAGTAAAAAGCAGAGAAAGCTGGCTCATGAAAGTGCAACTATCAGACAGGATTCAAGATAACCTTCACAGAATTAACCAGTTTTGGGTGATCACTATAGAAATATTAGGCCAAAAAAGGAGCACCTATATTTAATATGCCAATTTTTAGATGGCTATAGGAAGACAATGCTCTACTTTCATTGAAAGCTATACTTGCACCCAGTAATGTCGAAAACAATGGCAGACAACTAGCAATACAATCTGAAGCTATGGGTATGAACAGTACTCTTCCATAGCCTGTAAAATTAACATGCACAGCAGATCTTGCTGAAACAGGAAAAAGGGTGTATTATATAAATATTATTCTAGCTTCCTGTCTCTCCACCTTCCTATTTTCTATGAGTTAAGCATATACTTCATCCTGCTCTAAGAACCAGTGGTAAACGACAGTTTATTGACTTTAATATGAACATTTTACTTTGCTACTACATTTTTATCTTGTCAATGGTAAAAAATATATTTAATGACTTTATCCATTATTTGTTAAACTCTATTAGTAAATTTTTCTTAACATGATCAGAAGTTAATTGCACTTTTTTAAAATTATAAACGTATTATGTAACTATATCACTAGTAGTTGAAAATATTTCAATATAATTTCGCTAAGTAGATGAATACTTTTGCACTATACTATTAAATGACTAATGTAATTAATATCTGTGTTGGTGATCTCTTGAAACATTTATGTCAGAACCAAATAGTAAATGAGAAATTATAGTTATGTAAGCAGGTTTTCACATACTGACAAGCTATTGATTTACTACTATGAAAACACATAGGTATTAACGCAGAGATCATCAAAACAAGGACAGAGAGTCTACCTTCTGCCACAGTGGTTATTGCTTTTTCTCGAAGTCACAACTAGATAGAGGCAAACTTCTGCTATTGAATATGAACTGTACATTGATATAGGTTAATGAACAATTCAGAGCCTCAGTTTCTTCAGTAGAGTCCCAATTGCCAAACCTGTAGAAGCATTTTTTTCTGAGTGAAATTGCACATTGTATTTTATACTACACATTAATAATTGTTCCTCTCCCTTTCATGGGCATACCATAGGGGATAGACAGAAGTCCAGGAGCAGGTATTGACTATCTACAGTGCAGCAAGTACTGAGCCCTAGGTGCCCCAGTGGCACTGTCAGGCAAGCATTGGGCTGCTAACCATAAGGCTGAATGTTAACCCTCTTCCCCAGCCTCTCTGTGGGAGAAAGATAAGGTTATCTGCTGCCCTAAAAATTTACAGCCTTGAAAACCCTACATAGGGTCCCTATGAGTTGACATTAATGATATTTATACTGACTTTATTGTTAAATCCAACTCAGTGGACTTAAAGCAGTTGCTGATGAAGATGAAGGATTGAAGCCTTCAATATAGATCACAACTCATTATAAAGAAGACAAAACTCCTCAAAACTGGACCATTAGGTAGCATTGTGATAAACTGAGAAAAGATTGAGATTGCCAAGGATTTTGTCTGGCTTGGACCACAATAAACACTCGTGAAAGCAGCAGAGAGATCAAATGGTGCCATTGTATTGGGTCAACAAGCAGCACAAGATCTTTTTGAAGTGTTGAAAAGTAAAATGCTTACTTTGAAGATTAAAGTATGCCTGACCAAGCCATGGTATTTTCAATTGCCTTGTATACATGTTAAAGTTGGGTATTGATCAAGGAATATGGAAGAAAAATAAATGCATTTGAATCTTGGTGCTGGGAAAACATATTCAGAGTATCGTAGATGGCCAAAAGGACAGACAAATCTGTCTTGGGAGAAGTACAGCCAGAAAGCTCCTTAGACACAAGGATGGCAAGACTTCATCTCACATACTTTGGACATATATATATCATCATGTCAGGGTAGACCAGCCCCTAATGCATCATCACAGGTTTGGTAGGCGCAATTGTACAGTGATAATAAGTAAAGATTATAGTAAAGTCACAGAGAGCATGAGAGATAGAGGAGAGATTGAAATAATGGAGTTAGATGCATTTCATGGTCGCATGCTCACCTCAGCCTCACTTGGTGGTTCACGTGGAGAGAGAGATTTATTGCTAACCAAGACTTATATATTCTCTGGGGATGTGTAAGCTCCCTAACTGCAGGTAAAGACATACATCACAGGAAAGGGTTTTGCTATAGGTAATACAGTAATGGCAGGTGGGTGATCTAGGGGTACATACGCTATTGGAAGAGGAGGGAATAAGGGTATACATGTGACAAGATGGGTAGACCCTAGATTCGTGATGGCAGTCTAACTTTGGATGTCACTGAGCAGGTTTGACCTGTTCTCTGCCTCACTATAGAAACCATTATCAGGGTGTAAACCCATCTACAGGGACCAGACTGCAAGTCTTTAGGGAGAAATAGCCCATTGTCCTTAACAGCAAGGAGTGGCCCCTCTTGTGGTGGGACCATACAGGAGTCTGGCAACTGAATGCCTTCAGGGAGGATGTCTCTAAGCGTTTGACCTCCCACCATATGCTGGCACATAGCCTCTAATGTTTGGCATGTCTTTCGGGGAGACAAAGCTGGAAAAGGTCTCTTTATAATCCCACAATTTCCCCTTTTGTTTTATATAAAATTTAAAAGAGCCACAGGGGCAAAATGGTTATTTTCTGTACATTAAAAGCTGTCAAGGTAAATTTAATGACCAAATTAATATAGCCAAAACTTCAGGCTTATGGTAAATGTTTTGGATCCAAGCACTGGGGATAAAGTCCCTCTATGCCCATCTGTTATTGGAGGAAGGTATGAGGAGGATTGGATGCCATGGCGGGAAGAAATAGAGCCAATAGGAGCAGCCACTTCTATAGCTAAAGCTGCTGGCCACACAGCAATCAGTTATGTGCTAGTAAGAGACAACCTCAAATCAGGACCATATAGGAGGGTAAAGTGGGGAACAATATTATGAGAATGTGATTAGGACCTACCTATAACTCACAAGGGTGAAGGTCCCCCTCCACCTCTAGGAACCTAGCCTGCCAAGCTTCTTTGTGAGAATAAAGGATTCATCCTTAAACACTCTCTTCTCTTTCTCTGCTCCCCACAGTGTTTGCTTTATGTGCAAACTTCAAAAGTGCCATAGAGGGTGTATGATTCTCCTTCACACACCTCAACTTTCTATAGAAGCAACACATGATAGCCAGGACAAAAATTATGATTATGAGCAGCACTGTTAGGCTGGAAACCAGGCTATGAGAAATACTTTGAACCCAAGCTCGAGGATCCAATCCTCCCATGTTATCCACCAATTGCTTAATTATATCAGAGCCAGGAGACACCTCTAGTCTGTCTTTGAATGTATAGAAAATATCCTTCTTAAACTGATCAACATCTAATGAAATGTTTCCCTTAAACCCTTGCAAATGCTTCCTAATCAAATCCCAATCAAACAGTGTCTTATTATATGGATAAGAGGTTATGCAAAAATCAGTTACATTCCAATCACATTTTAGCATTAATTGATGTTGCCAGTCCATAATTTGAACTCCCACCCATTGGCCAGTGTGCTGCAGCTCCACTACTCGCTCCCCCTGCCCCCCAGTTCATTGTCCACCTTTGCCTGAGTGGCCCAGAGCTGATGTGAGTCCACTTGTCACTTTTGCACAAAATGTTCTGTTGTGATGGACTCTTGTTTTGCCGCCCCCACCCCTCAGCATCAGTAACAGTGGTGGCAATTGCTATAAGTCTGATTATAGATCTGATTAACATTCCCATGAATTGGCAAGCTCTTTTCAGCATCTCCGACACCACTTGCTTCAAGAAGGACGATTCTGGACTGCTCTCCCATCTGCACTTCATCTCCACCAGGATCCACACCTCCATCCTGCTCTTTAGGATGAGGATGCTGTCTTTTGAAAGGTTTATAAGCAGAGCATGGGTAATGCAAGTGAAAAATTTACAATGATGGCAAGTGGTACTGCGAGCAGTTTCGTTTATGAAGATGCTTCCTACAGAAAGCACTTAAGGCAGCTTGACACACAAAACTATGTACCGAGTCTCATTCTTGTGAAAAGTATAAGTATAGCCAGACTGAGGGTTCCAGTAAAGCTTCCTGTAGAGCCTGTTAATGGATTAGTGGCAACTGGTAATTTCCACAGGTCCTGTCACAGGCTTTAGTAACCTGGGGCGGGGAGGCGCAAGGCCTCCTTCATGCCAGGTCATTAACTTTGTCCTCGTAGTGGCAATGCCAACAGGGTTTTTTTTTTTGCCACCCACAATTTCTTACATAATCAAATGAGGTGATATTGGATTCCTCTGAGCAATTAGTTAGAAACTTTCAGTGGAGGTCCCAATCAGTAATAGTTACAGAGTTATTTCTTAACACCTTTCCACGAGACCCCTGACATTTGAGCCATTTGAGTCTGTCAGCAATGACATGCCGGTAACTCATAATTTTACAAGCCTCTATATCCCCTTTCCCCTCCATAGTAGTGGAGTTTTTATATTCTGCAAATGCCTCACCATTATCATATAGAAGCCATAGCTGGTTTTGTTAAAGACCAGCCAATTATTCCATGCCTTAGAGTTAACAGTCAAACAGCTAGGGCTGGTGCCCACACATAAAGGCAGATTTTCAAAACCCAGAGTGAAATGAAAAATTGTGCCTTCTTCATCAGGATGTCTGGCTGTTCCCTCAACTCTCCCAGCACAGCATGAGCTTCCCTCCTTCCTTCTGGGCCTTGCTGGCTGAAAAATCCACTTATCTCCTTTGTGAAAATGTAAACAAATAGCCCCTCCTTTTGTGGTGTCAGCAACCTGGAAATAGAATCATGATTAAGACTGGGTGGTCTCTTCATCTCCTTCTTGTCCATCTTTCTCCAAACATGGTTGCATCCTTCTAAGGGGAGTCCATCAGCTTTATTCTGCAAAAACAAAAATGTATGGCCCTTTCTCCAGGTGACATTTGGGACCTGGATCCCAAATGCGATTCCCAGCTCCTTGGGACTCCTTAGGAACAGCTTTTTCTGTAGAAGTAAAAATGTGTCTATCTGCCCTAATTTTATTGCAAGCTTTTAGTAAGGAGAAAAATATTTTGGTTAAAATGACTAAATTTGTCACACATAAGATTCCTCTTCTCCCACTTCTGTTTTAACAATGCAAATGTTAAAGCACTGCTGGCAATCAGTTAACTTGTTAGGTTTTAAATTAATTTTACTACTTAGATAGAGTTCATTGTTATGTAAATATCAGCTTCAGGCTCGCAGAGAATTGAGAGAGCTAATTAGTTGTGATAACGTCTTACCACACTCAGGATGATTTGAAAGACTGAAAAAATTCTTAAGAAATTTGTTCAGCTGTTATTGAAGTAACCTACCAAACATGTTTTTTCTCTACATTTAGCAATAAGGTTACAGGCTTTTTACACGGTATGATTTTACAATCTTGCAGTATTCTTTCTTGGTTAACTTCTCTCATTCCTTCCATGCTAGATTTAGAGGAAGCTAATGCACAGGTCTTAGGCCCTTGTGAAGGCCCTCGGGAAATGACTCCAAATCCAGAGTTTATAAACCTTTTTCCTTCAATTTCTAATTCCCTATGGAGTCGCCGTTGTTTCCCCACAACAGCATTCCAAAAAACCCTTTGGTTTATAGGGTGGTCAGACTTCTCAAGTACTCTTTCTTGATAGAAATTTTAACTCTAGGAATGCAAGGAAGTAAAAATTGGCTTAAGCAATCTTACTTCTTTATAAAGCATAGTATATCAATTTAATGACTGCCTTAATTTCTTCATTATAATCCTGATCAATAATTCCAGCAACCATGAGAACACCTTGAGAATTTAGCTTGGACTTTCCTAATAAATGTTCCATAGTTCTTTTAGGTAGTGGACTCCAAGTACCACTCTTCGTAATTCCTGATTTAATTACAGCTTTTGACTTTTCCTCACAACTCTGATCAACCCCAGTATCAATTTGAATTCCTTGACTACTTAGGTTAAAACTTCCTGATAAAAACTGCATTACTCTTTCAATAAGAGGCCCCAGCTTTTTAAAATCAACAGACAGTTATGAGGGTTTCTGAGCCTTTACTTGGTTAATTAACCTTACTGCAGCGAGGACAGAGGCTGGGCTTTTGCAAGTTTGGCTAGGTCTGGTCTCCTGCTGTGAGATTGGGGGATACCTACGATTTCTGCCATTCAGAGATTCTTTTGCTGGGTTAGTCAGAGGCTTTGCCTTCCGAGCTCTGCTGGGCGGGGCTTGGATCAAGCTCCTTCCTGTATGACCTGCACTCCATTTAAAGGGGCTTGGAGCCACGCCCTGCTACCTTTTTTTTTGTCTGAGTGTTACTTCCTTGTAAATGTCCCCTATTGCTAAACTTTGAATGACAATGTTCTGCCCAGCGTCTACCTCTGTCTCGGAAGGGGCAAAGTCCAGTTTCCTTGGACTCTTTCCCTGGGTATTTTCCACTGTGAATTGTCCTGTTCTTTTGTAAGATCTGCTTGCAGTCTCTGGTAATGTCCCTCTGCTCCACATGTAAAGCATCTCCCTTTAGGTCTGGTGTACTTTGCCAAAGCAGCAGCCATGAGGTTGGCTCTGTGCTCATCTGTCCCTACATTCCTGCATATCCTGATATGCATGCTCTGTTCCTTGAAAGGGCGTATGGCAGATGGACATGATATATTCTAGTTCTCAAATGCAAGTGTAAGAATAAGATTATCTGCTGCAGTATCCTTGTGGACAGCATCCTGTAACCTGGATATAAAATCTATATAAGGCTCATCATTCCTTTGCTTTGCTGTCATGTAACTAGGCCGTCTGCTTCCTGATGGTATTATTTTCCCCCAGGCCTTTAGACAGACTTCTTGTACTTGTGTGAAAGTCTGCTCATCAAAGTTTAATTGTGACTCAATTGTGATGTAATTCTCATCTCCTATATCAATGCCGTCTTCTGCATTTTTGTATCCTTGTAAAAGGGCTGCTTCGTTCCACAGCATTTTATAATGCAAAGATTCTGAAGGGAAAAAACACACCTTCGTCCACACTTTCCAGTCGGATGGGATCCAATATTCCATGTCCGCAATAAATAATAAAGAACACAATGAATATAACTTCTGGTCTCTTCCAATAAAGAAATTCTATTAACAAAGTATTTTATATTCTGTTTAATCACAATTTTGGAATGTTGGGAAGAAAGATGGGGCTTTCTACTCTCATAGAGAGTTATAGTCTAGGAAACTCACAGGGGACATTCTCCCCTGTCCTGTAGGGTCACTAAGAAATGACAGTGAGTTTGTTTTGGTTTGGTTTTGATCTCTGGAAGAGAATCTATTGTAAATATAAAACAAACAGTTATCCTTTTCATAGGGAATATCAAACCAAATTATGCTTTCCAAGAAACTGAAATAACTAAGGACAAACCTATAATTGACAATGAAGATTTTGGTTTTTAAAAAAAATAATGTTTTTATAACAGGGACAGGGCAACAGTACTACGTAGACAGAAGCTAGAATGCCTCTAGTCTTTATAGCTCCATGACAAGGGCAGCAGATAAAGTCTTCAGTTTGTTTTTCACTGTCCTGTCAGAATAGGCATGGCTGGCACAACTACGAATCTACGAGCACCACGGAGGGCCAATTTTGTTACATTATTTAGTTATTGTTCTTCCTAATTTTGTTACATTATTAATGAATTTGCAAATCATAGTTATTAGAAATAACAAGAATAAATTCTTTGGGGTATTTTCCCGCACTCCTAGTTAGATATACATTAATGTTTCAATGCCAATCTCTACTGTCTTTAAATTACTTTTCAGCAATGGCTCTTTTCCCAGTGATGTTGTTTCTGGCTACTGTTCTGCTTCCATCTTTACCTGCTGAAGGAAAGGTAAGGTAAATGAGGCAAAATCCTTTCAGAGCTATCCAGAGAGTTTTTGTAGGATGCATGCCACTCGGTAAACCATTTAGAGTGGGAGAATTGCGCCTATGATGAAATAGTCCTTGGATATTTCATTAATTCATGTATGAGGCTACTAGAGATGCCACAACAAGTAGCCACAAACTAAGTGGCGTGTCTGGAGGTGGAAATGGGTAACATTCTCATCTGCTAATGGAAAGGTTGGAGGTAAAACTCTGCCTAGACCACTTTGAAAGAAAGGTCTGGTGATTTTTTGGGACACTCATCCAATGAAAAAGTCCCATAGGGCCCAGTTCTACTCTGATGCACGTAGAGTGGACACTAGTTGGAGTCAAGATGATGGCAGCTATTTCTGGTAACTCACAAACCTGTCAGCAGGCAGGAGAAATAGACTCACAAGTAGAGAGTGGCAAAACCATGCAATCAGAACTATGATCACAGTGTGTGTAACGACATGAGGAAATGTAGTAGCTTTTACACCATGTGGTCAGGGGAATGTCAAAGTCCCTTAGGTTAGGCTTACAATTGGCTTCTAAAACCTTGCTTACCTCCATATATACATGTCGGTGAATAAAGTGCTTTGCACTTGTACCAACCATGTCCAAGCTATGACTTCACCCCTTCTACCCTTCCACCCCAGCCTCGACATGACCCCACACCGCACACACACACTCTCTCTCACACACACACAGATAAACCCCAAGTATCAGTATCCAAGTACATTATTAATTACCATTTGTTGATGAGAAGAACAAAGTCAGCAATAGTCCACTAACTGTAAGACTTCCCTCCCTCCAAACTGCCTCGAGGTTTAGTTTTGCAAAACAGTCACCTGAAATTTTGCTACAAAATGGTGGCCTAATTTTGCTAGGACACTAAATACTAGACATGCACTTGAACTGTAATTTAAGCATTCTTTCTCTAGCGCCAAACATCTTGTGAAGTCAAAGCCCCCTTTAAAATCTAGGATGAATCACTTGCCTCACTACCTCTTGCATCCTGCTGAAGTATGAATGTATATTTCTTAATGGTTCCTATCATGCACCTTTGTGGTACATGATAGTATTAATGTTATTAATACTAATATGTTATTAATACTAACAAAGTATTAATGTTATTAATACTAATATGTCTGGGAAAATGATAGTGAAGCCTCCTGAAAAAAACAGAAAGTGGCATTTGTGCCCTCAGGTCAGGAGTTTGCCATGCTGTGAATTATATCCTCACTCTCAAAATTTCAAACTCTATCTATGCTACTTAAAGATCATAGCTTCGATTCTGAGTTATTTGCAATGCTTAACAACTCATATTGGCTTCAATTGAACACTTTAAAAAAAAAGTGATCTCTGTTTATTTGAATGAATTTATTGACCATCATCTACAAGCTTCAAATGTGTGAAAAATAGCTCCAATTTTATTTCTCTTTAGGACCCAGCTTTCACTGCTTTGTTAACCACCCAGTCATCAATCCAAAAGGAAATTGTAAATAAACACAATGAACTAAGGAGGGGAGTCTCTCCAACTGCCAGCAACATGCTAAAGATGGTAAGAGGGCAACAATACAACAAGTGATGTGCTGCAACAGTTGCAACTAACTTTGTGATTTACAAAGTTCTATTTCTATTTTGCTTTAGCTATTTTATGGGTAGAAGAGAGTTCCATATTTTCATTTTATTAATGGGCAAGTAAAATATCCAGGTCACAAGGCTACGAAGCTGGGGGGGCAGAATCAGAAGTCAAATCTTTGGGTATCCAGCATGCAACCACTACAATATTCTGTCTATGACCCTCGCCGTTTCAGATCTAGAGATTTTCTTTTCCTTTAAGAACAATGTCACTTAGAGTAAATGCCAGCTGACTTCACTGAACAGTTGTAAAAGCTAAGTCTTTCACCTACGTGTGTCCTGGACTATAAAAGAGACAGGGAATGACATAAACTCCTTGAGAAAATAGTGAGAATAGCTCCACACGCTTGTCAGGATTTAGGATAAGGCCATTATTGAACACTGATAGGTGTGGCTATTGTGTTAATAAGTACTCAAAACATGGTACAGACGTCTTTGATTGTTCCGCTCCTGAGACACATGATCCGTGCACTGCTCTTGGTGTGGGAACTGGCACAGTGCAGGAACAGACACACCACAGGTGGGGACACCAATAACAAAACCAACTTAATAGTCCTGATAATTGAAGAGACCGCCACAGATGTTTTAAACTATTGTAAATCAGTCTGCTAGTCTGCTGAGTATAACCATGTGTTTCACTGTGGTTAGATCATGAAGTCTGTGCTTTTTTTCCCTCTTGGTGACGTTTAGGAATGGAACAGAGATGCAATGGCAAATGCTCAAAAGTGGGCCAACAAGTGCACTTTAGAACACAGTCATCCAGATGATCGGAGAACAAGTATGTAAACCAGTGGATATTTGTTGTGCTCTTAAGTACATGAAGACATAAAATAACAATAGACCCTTCTATTACACTAAGAAAAGCTTATGAATAATGTTGCTTATATTCCCATCTTTTCAAAATCACACTGTTTGTGAGGCAAGAATTACAAAACGTAGAATTTTGTTCCTCTTGATTAGGTTTTGCAAACATTTTCACATCTATTACCTCTCCATCAGCTCATTAAAATAACAGGTCATGTACCATATTTTTTTCAAATTTACAGGTTAGAAAACAGGGAGTCAGAGAGAAAGTCACTTACATAGTAACACAACCAGAAAGCTGTGTCATATTTTGGAAATATGGAAACGGGCTTTGTGACATTTTTACACACTGCCCTAAATGTGATTGTATTCTTCCTGGGTTTTGAAAAGATGGTGTGTGTTTGTTTGTTTTTGAATTCATAAAGAAAAATGTTTTACTTTGCCGAAGTGCTATTGAATTTTTCTTCTAAAATGTTTAACATCCTTTTAGATTAGTATGAACATTTTGCATAAATTAATTTAATTTTTACAGAAGAGAATTTTTTGTTGGCATCAAACTGCCAAGTGTCTTGTACATACTCGGTGCCCATGGAAACAGATGCAATTACATTAAAACAAACACAAGACAAAAGCTACCAATAAGCGACAATGATAAGAAGACAAATCAAGTATAGGCATGAAAAGTTACATGATAATTGTGAAAGTCAGAATCTGTGTAATATGGAAACCTGTCAAAGAAGGAAAAGCAAATACTACTCTTTAGAAGAGTGGGGACTTCACTCTGTCAAAAGTGAGGAACGTTAAAGTGCTGGAAATTTTAGGAGTTCTACGCAGTACTATTGGGTCATTTTTGAACTGCTAACTGCAATGCCAACAGTTTGAACCCACTAGTGGCTTTTCTGGAGAAAGATGAGGTGGCCAGCTCTTAAGATTTACACCCTTAGGGACCCAATCTAGGGATGGTATGAGTCAGAACTGACTCAATGACACAGTGGGTTTGAGTTGATAAACTTAGATAAATGTACCTCCTGTTGTCCTCTGCTCTTAAGGCTTTTAAAAACAGACTCTGTGCCCACACCCCCAAAGTTTCCAAAAGCCATCATCCTAAAATTTTGGTCAGTTTTCTACATTTGGAAAATCTCTGGTGAGGGTGGGTGCTTAAGAGCAGAAGAGAACGTACAAGAGTCGTCTCCACCTGCAGGGGCGGCCCCATGCAAACCTGAGAATACCGGAGGCGTGTAAAGTCAACCATTTGACACGTAAAGAAACAGTGGTCTGCGAAACGCTTTCCATGTCACACCCAGCCTTCATCATCAATGAATTAGGCACAACTGACTTCCTTTCAACTTTCTAGCTAAGAAGAAGCAGACACCCCTTCTTTGTACTTCCTATGGCTATGGGGTCAGCTTTAGCTCATAGAAATCCTATAGAGAGCCTCAGAGACTGTAAATCTTCACAGCAGCAGGGAGCCTCAACTTCCTCTCACAGAGAGGCTGGTGTGTTTGAACCAATGACCTTGAAGTTAGCAGGCCGTCAGGTTTTTTTGGCCTGCTGTACTAAACAATAGCAAACACAGATACGCTGTTGGAAGAGCAGGAACTTTGTGTGGATATGGTTGATGTATTTTGCCCTTATACGCTTTTTTGCTTATAAATAAATATATATATATGTATTTTTTTAATCCAGATACAAAATGTGGAGAAAATCTCTATATGTCATCTGACCCTACATCCTGGACAACTGCAATCCAAAGTTGGTTTGATGAGCGTGAAGATTTTACTTTTAATGTAGGTGCAAGGAGTCCCAATGCAGCTGTTGGACATTATACTCAGGTAACAAGAGTGAATGAAAACACCTCTTCCATAAATACCTTGGCATAGAAAAATTCTCTAATTGTTGACCAACCAAAGTTCTCTAAATGTTGAATATGTGTACAATATTCAACTTAGGAAGTGCCCCATGAGCACAGGTAAAGTACCATCAAAATGACTAGGAGAGTCCAATATATTTTGTCAATGTTCTTCTCAAACCTCTGTATAAAGTCATAAATGTACATGAAGGCATTTATATGGCATCCTAAACTGTCTAACAACAACAACAACAAATTCCATCAATAATTTTCTTTCTGTTAGCATTTGTATTTTTTTAAAAATCAATTGCCTCTTTCCTAACACTATGTGACACTTTCCTTCTGTGGGTGTGTAGATGGTGTGGTACTCCTCTTTCCGTGTTGGGTGTGGAATTGCCTTCTGTCCCAATCAAGACCAGCTAAAATACTTCTATGTTTGCCACTATTGTCCCGCGTAAGTGTACACCTTTGAGTTCACTATTAATGATAATTCTAATGTCAGCATGTAATTGAATATATAACATTTCTCATAAACCAGAATGAAACATATTTTAGTTAAGGGGGAACTGCTGTAGTTTCTAAGTTGAGACATTGGTAAGAAAGAAGACCACTCTGCAGTTCCAAATATAAAAGTATATGACTCACTCTTTTATTAATATCTAAAATGATTTACAGGGTCTCTTAGTTACCTTCTATTAGCTCTTGGCCATTCCACTAGCATAATCTAGGATGCATTTCTCTAGAGTTGCTATTACCAGTCCTTGTTACCTTCAGTTTTAGTGTGATGGTTTTCAATGGCTTAATGGTTAGGCTGGGCTGGAAGCTGGGGGTAGCACAAAGGAGTAACATCCAATAGTGATCCATCCCTTTATCCTCACATATTTCTATGATATTATGCCCAGGTTAGAAAATTGAATGAAAATGCTTCTTCCATAAGTGCTTTAGCATAGAAAACCTCTCTAAATGTTGACTAGTCACAATGTTCAGCTTCAGAAAGTACCCAAATAGTTTAGAAAAAGAGCTATCCTAATCATTAGAATAGTCAGATATTTTAAACTCCAGAGTAAAATATTTCTCAGGATAATGATTTACAGCTGGAATTATTCCCTCTCTTGAGCAATATGTTAAAAATGATCCATAAATTCTATGAATATATTGAAGATATAGGTGAGTGTGATAATCTCTTTAAAAATTTTACACTTTCTTACCACAAGAGGCAGATAAGCTGACAAAAACAACAATGACAAGGTTCCTATCTTATTTATTTTGAAGAATAGATAATACAGGGGGATGTGGGACTCTTATCTTTAAAAAATATGATCTTCAAAGTAATTTTTTAAGCTATCACATATTGGAGTTTAGTGGAGAGATTGAGAGGAGGGAGGATTTAGGAAATATACACAAACTCATTATCCATCTGTGAGAGATGGCTATCTGAAGGCTGCAATGGAAATGGGAGAATAAATAATGAGAGGTCTTCCAGAATACATTTACAGCTCTCACTATTAATGATACACACTGCTGGGAGTAAAGTTAATCTGTATTACTTTGGGTACATGGCCTACGGGGCACTACTGAGATTTGCCCGCTAGGCTAATGCTCATCAATGCAGTGCCTACTAGTCTCTGTAAAAATCAACTCACCTGGAGACTGGTGTTAATGAAACTTTTTTTCACTTAATTTTCACTTTTCTGCTATCAAAACTATCACACACACACACACACATACATACACACACACCCTCTAGAAACTCAAAATATCCCTAAGGACCATCTCTCATGCACCCAACACACCATCATAAAATGACTACGCCATCTCTCCCCATTCTTGGCACGTTGACCCTAAATTCACAGCAACCCCATAGGATAGAATGGAACTTCCTCTGTAAGTTTCCAAGGTTGTAATCTTCATAGATGCAGTCTGCCATATCTTTCTCCTTGCAAAAGCTGGTGGGTTCAAAGTGAAAATCCTTAGTAGCCCAACCCTTAACCATGGTGTCACCCAAACTCCATTACCACCTCATAAAATGTATAAATTTAGAAATAGGTCATACAAATACAGAAATGTATGAGTATAGAAATTATATCATTTTCATAAACAACATTATAACATTGAGTACTACATTCTATACTTTCACCTTTAACCTGGTATCCACAGGATATTCTCCTAACTGATATTTCTTAACCTTAGCCAGCTCTTTAAGCTGCATTCCATAGAAACTTGATAAATCTACTGAGTGTTGCTATGTTGAAATATACAGTCTCTCCTCTGTACCCTTGGCTTTTGTATCCACAGATTCAATCAACCTCTGAACAAAGAACTTGGGAGAGAGGGAGAGGAAGGATAGCAATTAAGTGGTCTTACAATCCTTCAAAGACTAAGAGGGGAGCATCAAGTGCTATTGGATTACATTGGATAGGAAAGTTAGAGATGATTTAACATGCTATACAGTAGAAGGTGCAGTTCAAGACCCTATGAGGGTACAGTTAAGGCTAGGGACCAATGTGTAAAGCATTCTCCACATCGAATTGTTATCTGAATTATATGTTGCAAATTTAAAATATTCAGGTTTGGGGACATAATTAAAATATTAAATATAATTATGGATATTCATGATTGATGATAATCTTGAGGTATGAACGAAATAGCACATTGAAAGCTATATAATATTTCTACATCAAATTTTAGTGGTAATAATATCAACCTGAAGGCAACTCCTTACAAACAAGGGACACCTTGTGCCAGCTGCCCCGGAAACTGTGAGAATGGACTGTGCAGTAAGTTTACAGCATTTGTTATTAAAATAGAGATGACATGTTTTCTTTGTAAAAGATTTCATGTTTCCTTTTTTTTTTAAGTAAGTAATATCCTGAAAGTACCATATATACTGAAGTATAAGCCGACCCAAATATAAGCCCAGGCACCAAATTTTACCACAAAAACTGCATTAAAAATGTGCTGAAAAACCCGGCTTCTACATGAGTATATACTGTAACCAATAGCTATATATCAAAGAGAAAAATATTTGTCAACAGGGTGTGTTTAAGGAGATATTTTATCCACATCAATGATCTACACATTAATTATAATGTAAGGTGTATTACCATATGTAATGTAGAGAAATATCTACCATCAATGTGTGTTTGTAACAATGCTGAGCCATTTAACATTAGCATACATGCCCGTATTCCAGATGAAATTGATCATTAATTCAAAGTTAGTATCACATTCCCAAACATGCTATTTTGGAAAATCAAAATATATGAATCTGAAGATGTAAGATGACCAAAGATGGTTAAATGAAAAAAAAGAAAGAAAAAGGCATTGAGTCAATGCCAACTCCTGGAAACTGTATAGGACAAGGCAGCACTGCCCCTGAGTTTCTGAGAACTGTCATTGTTCAGGGGAGTAGAAAGCCTCATCTTTTCTGCAGAATGGCTGGTGTTTTTGAACTGTGGACTGTTTTGCATGGAAGCAGAGCTCATAACAGCTACACCAGCAGGATTTCCTTCATCTGAAATGGTATACCAAACATGAGTGCTGGTTTTGTGTGAATAGCGCTTCTTCCCCACCTTTTCATATGCTGTAATTAAAATCAAAGTATTAACTTACATGATCCATGGATGTGTAATTGGACAGTAGTTCTTGTGCAGATTTTAACTTTCTAAAGCCAATCTGTAGATAATAAAAAAACTGTTGCAAAAACAAAACAGAATAGAATAGATGAACAAAAAATAAATAAGACATCAGTTTTCTGTACTTGAATACCTTTATTAAAAATCACTATGCACAAAAAAATTGACCCTTCTCTGAGACTTGAATCTTTGAGATGCATTAACCTTTAGTTAGTATTCTCTAGCACTCAAATATTGTAGCCACGATATTGATGATACTACAGTTATGAATCTCCAAAGAATTTATTCCTTTAACAATGAGAAGTCAATTGAAAGAATTCAAACAGGAGAGTGGCAGAATAAGAATTAAGTTTTATGAAGAGCTTTCTGGTAATAATACTAAGGAAAACTTAGATAGAAACTGTTAAATAACATGAATTTTTAAAACGGTTTTTACTGCATTACTCAAAAAAAATAAAGAGAATGGGCAGATTTAAGTGTAAGAAAAGAAGCCAAATAAACAGTGTTGCTTATTTGTGCTTGCTGAGTGCTGGAAAAAAGTAGAAGTTTGACTAATTTTTTGGTTTGAATTACTGCATAGTCAGGAATGCTCGTTCAATTACATTGAGAGAGGGCTGTAGGGAGGCCACTCTCAAGTCTGACCCATGTCAGACTCTTCTGTCATAGAAGAAGCTTAGTTTTAGATTTGGTTGAATTTGGAGCCCTTTGGGAATCTTAAACTAAGCTTTATAGGAAGCAGCGAAGTCTAAGACTCTGATCTCATCAGACTTTTCTTCTGTTCTTTATAGGAAGATACAGTAAGGGAAAAGAAAATATGAGAATGCCCCCTTTACTTGTAACTTACACCCTCTCTTCCCACAATGATACAGAAGAAAAGTCTGATGACATCAGAGTCTATGGCCACGTTGGTCCCTATCAGTGTTGACTGTCTTACAGATACTCACTAGCTACAGGTGGACTTTTAATATTTGAAGGGTGACTAATGAAACTGAGGAAGTGATTCCTCCTCTTTAATTTAAATCAAGTTCTATCTGAATAGCTCTCCATGACTAGTGCTACCATATTAGGCCCGGCAGGCATTTAATCACATCATTTTACTCTATGCTCAGGTAGGAAAGGTCATTAATATTAGAGGTGTATGACCGATTCCAAAGTAAAAAAAAAATGACTTAATCAATGAGCTCAACTAAAGTATGTCTCTCAATATGTAATAAGACCAATAGTGTGACCCTAATTTGCTCATTCAATCCTACCCTCCTTAAAAAAAAGTGATGTGAATTAAGTGAAGTTTACATTTTGATTTTCAAATCATTTTATTAGGACATAATCCAGACAACCATTCAATAGTTCAGTTATATTAAGCAGTATTATACAATGGCTAAGCCAATTGATTTTAAAACATTTTCTTCTTTCTTGTACTCCTTGATTGAACAACCTATTACACCTTCCCTCTCATGCCATACCTGCCAGGAAGCCTTATTCTAGTTACTGTCTCTCGAGATTCACCCAACTTGGGTTTTGTACAAGGGGTTCTTGTGCGCCCCCCCCCTCCAAAATGGATTTTTTTCCCAAAGCTATTTAATTTTTTTTTTTTACAAAACAACTTTATCACCTTCAAAGTTTCTTCATTACACTTAATACATTTGTCAAATCTGTGATTCCAATCTTGGAATTTTTCAAACTCATCTGTTTGCATGGCTGACAACACCGCACTCATTTTTTTTGTCACCTCTTATAAGTCTTCAAATTGCTGTCCTTTCATGCCCCTCTGCATTTGCGGAAACAAAAAGAAGTCACACAGACGAAATCAGGTAAGATGCATAGGACAAGATAGGCATGCTGTTTGTTTGCCAAAATGGTGCACTGAGATGGCTGCATGAGCAAGTGCATTGTCGTGGTGGCAAAGACAGTCTCCTATCTGCCACAAATCAGGTCTTTTTTTGGTCAACACTGTTACGCTGTCTTTTCAGAACCTAAAAAGAAAGCTTGATTAACAGTCTGACCTGGCCGAATGAACTCCAAATGCACTATGTGTCAACATTTTCCATTTTCTTCCGGTCAGGAAGTTGACAGACATCCAGAATGAGGCAATTGACATTTCATCTTTTTTGAAACAAAAAAACCACTTGTACATTTGAATGGTTCCCATAGCACTGTCCTTATAAGCTGTGTTCAACATTACCACACTTTCTGCATATTTTTTTCTGAGCAGAAAAGAAAATTTCACAGCCACACGCCGTTCTCTTAAATAGGTCATCCGAAAAAGCGAGGTCTGAGAGCAAAACGGCTTTTACAAAAAAATTCACAGTCACCAGAGAGTGTCTTACTGGGGAGTGCTACTGGGTGCACTGACTCAGGGTGCATTGCTTGATGCTTGCCAAGTGGGAAAAATGTGTATTACCTGTTATTCTGTTTCTTGAGGGGTACCCCTTCTATACTGAAAAACATAGAAAGATACTTGTTAGGAGGTCAGGCAATTGGTCATTTTATATTGAGCAACGAAATACCTCCTACCTTCCTTTTACTAACTTCTATTTAAGAACGTCCTCCGTGGTAGAGGAAAATGATAATGAACTTTTTCTCTGTTTGTGTTACAGCCAATAGCTGTGAGTATGAAGATGCCCTTAGTAACTGTGAGGACCTGAAGATTAAAGCTGGCTGCAAACACGAGTTGCTCCAGGAAAAATGCCAGGCTACTTGTAAATGTGAAAACAAAATTTACTGAAAAATCCTGTGTACTTTGTGCTGAACGAAGTGAAGAAAGGACATTTCATCTCCTAGTATTCCACTGGAACACACCAAGAGAGAATTCTGGACATGTTAGTTACAAATTTGATCCTCAATAGTAACAAACTCTACACCATCTGCATTTAATATTACGAAAGTTGCCTAACACAATCTAAGATGGAAACTCTTGATTTTGGCATTAATTCAGCACGCTAATGAATCAAGCTGAGGATTCTGAAAATATTGCCCAAGGACTTAGGTCTCCAAAAATCCGGGATTGTCATGGAGAACCATTCCAGAAAGAAAATGCTCAAAAAGAACAACTGTAATACCAGTGTCATGCTTACTACATAATTTTTCATCTGCCTGAACAATGAGCTCAGAAACTTAACATCTGTACTTGTCTGTGGTGTCCTCTTTTAGTAAATGTAACCAGTTTGAATAAAAGATGGGCCTACGCAATCACATGGATGCGATTCTCGTGTAATTTTTTCATAGAATTTAGAATTAACCCTCAGTAGATATTTAGCACAGATAATTGATTACACGGAGCCAAATTCCGACAACATTTCCCCACAGAATTATATTTTATTTATTCATTTTATCCATGTTTGCCTACATTTAGATATTTTGATCTACTCTCCTTCCTACCAAAGTACTCAGGGTCAGGGAGAAGAAAAATAAAACAAGGTCTTAATCTTACAGCATATTCACATAAAGTATTTTAAGAAAACAAGCAACCATTTGTAACACTTTACATACATTTTATTTAAAATATAGTTGCAAGAGAGAAATGAACCTTTTCTTGCAACTAAAAATATATATAAACTAAGAATTGGGGGGAAAAAATCAAAAGGTGAGAATAGTCAGAAAGCAGATTTAACCTGACAAAGGCAAATTAGCATTGGCCACTAATGTCGCCAAGTAAAGTATCTAATCTGGATTCATCATGCAAACATTACCTTCAAGTCATCATTTAAAAGTTTCCAGTAACAAACAAGTTCCAGATCCAGATGGTTTCATTGGCGAATTTTACTAAGCACTGCATGCTTTCAAGACTTAGAAAGTTATAACAGTGATGATGGTGACTACAATATGAGTGTACAAATAGAGAGGCAGATCAAGAAAACAACAGAGAATTGAAAAATAAACACAAGAACAGCTGATAGTGTTAGGTACCCTCTAAATGAGTCCGACTCATAGCAACCCTATGGAACACAGAAGGAAACACTGCACTAACTTCACTAGCCTTGTGTTTCCTTGTTATGAAACAAGTCATTATATTTTCGCTCATAGTTGAGATCATATGTGCTAGCCTTTTGGATCCTTTCCACAAAAAAATCATTTCTCTTTTGATGTATCTTTGATTTTACTGTTAGTGATTTTGGCAGAACAATGTTTTGTTTTTCAACAAGATCTCAGAAATAAGACATGCTGTTGGAGTAGGTATCAGTAAACATGATGCCCACAACCAAGAAAAGGTGATAAGAGATAATAATATAGTGTACTGTAACATTTGCAACTGCCCAAATTATTTTGAATTTGCCAATGTAGACAGGCTCATTTCAAAAAAGCATCCTCACTGAAATCTCATCTTTCATTAATTTTGCTGGATTATATGTTCTGAAGCTGATATGTCCTCTCAATGGTATCAAGAGGCCAAAACTCACAATCACAAAAAGAACAGGCTGACTGGACAGTGAGAGATTGGTAGAGCTCAAGATTATGACCCTTAAGGTCAGGTTCAGATGTGCAAATGAACTCTCATTCCCCTGGCTCAGTTTGCAACCAAACAGTAGAGAAGTATGGAAAGTGAAAAATAACACTAGGGAAGTATGCACACACCTTTGAGAAATCAACCACTTGAGATCAAAAGGGCACGCTCTACCCAAGGTCAAAGTTCAGAAGGGTTAGGAAAGAAGTAATACTAAAAAGAGGAAATAAAACAAATATGCTATGTTTTTCCTTTCCTTTTACCGTATGTTTATCTCCATGAGATAGGCAGGACAAACAATCTGAGAGGGAAGAAATGGGACGGGCAGTTCTGGGGGTGGGGGTACATGGGAGAGGAGGGTATGGGAAAGAGGAGTGGGGAGCCAAAAAATTTAGAGATAATTCAACAAGATATCTAAAATTGATGGTGGGGAGGGTATATAATGCTGGATGGGGTTTGATCAAGAGCAATGTATCAGAGGAAATACTGAGAGCTGAATGGAGGGTGAGCATGATAATGGGATAGGAGGAAGGTGAAAGGAAATAGAGGAAAGAAGTAGGAAAATGTTATTTATAGAGGTATAGCTATAGGCATGTATATATGTAAATATATTAATTTATAATGAAAGGAATAGAAGCTAATGGACATATATTTATACATTAAATATTAAGATAACAGATGGACTTCAGGCTTCTACTCAAGGCCTCCCTAAACACAAGAACACATTGATACTCATCTTCCTGGCATGCTCACTGAAGAAAAAATGGATGCATAACCAAATGTGAAGAGAGCAGATGGTTCCCAGCTATCAAAAATATATCATTTGGGGTCTTAATGGCTTGACGTCAAACAAGCAGCCATCTATCAGGGTAGCAAATAAGCACACATGGAAGAAACAAACCAGCCTGTGTGATCATGAGGTATCAACGGATCAGGTATCAGTTATCAAAGAACCCAAAACTATATCAATGCAAAAGAGGGGGATTGGAGTGGAGTCCCAAAGCCCATCTATAGATAATTGGACATCCCCCCATAGAAGGGTTAGAAGAAAAGGTGTTCAACCAAGGTGTAGTATAGCCCTGACGAATCACACATCATCCTCTAGTTCCTGTATACTTCCCCCTACCCTCACCCCCCTACTGAGAACACACATTGGTACAGATAAGAGCTCTTGGCACATGGAATTCAGGACAGATAATCCCCTCAGGAACAGCAGTGGGAGTATCAATATCATGAGGGTAGGGTGATGGTTGGGGAGAGGGAAGGGGGAGAAAGGGGGAACCCACCACAAGGTTGGATATATAGCACCCCCTCAAAGGGGATGAATAACGTGGATGAAGGGAAACAATGGACAGTAAGATATGAAATAATATATCAAGGATTCATGAGGGTGGGAGAGTGGGGAATGGAGGGAAGAAAAGAGATTATACCAAGAGCTCAAGTAGAAAATGTTTTGGAAATGATTTTGGCAACATATGTACAAATATGCTCCATACGATAGATGTATGGAATGTTATAAGAACTGTAAGAACCCCCAGTAAAATTACTTTAAAAAACAACTAAACAAAACAGGAAAAAAAGGGGAGGAACTGAAATAAATGATGCTATATTGTGGGCATTGCAATCAACGTGATGAAACAAAATGTATATGACTTGTTCAATGGAAAATTGATCAGCATGGTGCGCTAACAAAGTTCAGTGAATAAACTATCAGCTATCTGAAAGAATTAAGTCTGGGATTTGAAAGGCTTGTTTTCAAATACACAGGTATGTAAGTGAAGCATCAGGGAAGTCCTTATGGAAGAAGCATACCAGACTCTCTAATCCAAGGATTGCAAATGATAGAATCTAAATCTAAAGGAGGGATTGACTTCAGAGCTTAAACTCTGAACACAGTTTTCAGAAGGTTATAGATGACAGTGGAAGCCCAAAATTCTTTTGCAATGTCCAGACATGGATTAAGTCTCTTGTGAACAGGTCTGTTGACAGAGAGCATGGAAAAGTCAATTTTGGAAGATGCTGACAGGTCAAATGTATTATCTTATTATTTGATTTCCCTTTAACTCATTTAAAGCTGTTTCATGTTTTTCTTTTCTTTTTTCTTAATCATTTTATCAGGGACTTATAACAATCCATCATTCAATTTTTTTTAATCATTAGGGGCTCATACAACTCTTATCACAATCCCTAAATACATCAATTGTGTAAAGCACATTTGTGCACTCATTGCCCTCATCATTCTCAAAACATTTGCTCTCCACTTAAGCCCCTGACATCAGGTCCTCATTTTTCCCTCCCTTCTCCCCGCTCCCTCATGAACCCTAGATAATTTATAAATTATTGTTTTGTCATATCTTGCACTATCCGACATCTCCCTTCACCCATTTTTCTGTTGTCTGTCCGCCAGGGAGGACGTTATATGTAGATCCTTGTAATCAGTTCCCCCTTTCCACTCCACCCTCCGTCTACCTTTCCGGTACTGCCACTCTCACCACTGGTCCTGAAGGGATCATCTATCCTGGATTCCCTGTGTTTCCAGTTCCTATCTGTACCAGTGTACGTCCTCTG